TGGGGATGAGTTTCAGACGTGTCTTCATAGATAAGATCAGTTTGCCAGAAAAATGCATGTATAACTCTAACTTCTGTGTTGACCTTTAATATTTTGACTGTCTGCTTCTGCCCCCCTCCCATTTCCCCTATAACTTTGGCTTTGAATTTGGACATTTGTTAAAGCTCATTAAGACCTACTTTTTATTTTATTTTGTAAGCTTGAATCCACTTAGGGGAAACCGTATGATCTGTGTCCAAACAAAGCTAATGAAGACAACCACAATTTGACTTCTGAATACTGAATATGTGCAATTACCTGCCTGTTCCGAATTGATGGTGCAAGAATTATTACCAAAAAAAATTCAAACAGCTGAGAAACTCCAAAAATTTATGAATAGCAGCCCATGAACAGGGAGGAACTAAACTGAGGAGACACGTTATTCATGGTGAATTGTTTGCTCAGGTCTAGAACTGCCCCAGGGTAAGACAGAGATTATCCATTCCTAAACCAGAATAGTCCTTCAGAGAGGATTTCCTCCTCCAGCAAAATCTAGAAACGTGTCTTTATACCCTTAGATACAGACTCAAAAGTGTCTGTATACACCAAGACAGAAATACTCATTTCTTGTGGGCATTTTTCACCCAAAAGCAAGTTTTGTCCCCACCAACGCTGCCCGCAGAGGTGGATGCAGTAGCCCCAGTAAGCAAGGCAAGAACCAAAACCAGCAGGTCAACAACCCCCTGTTAAACAACGTGATCACCTTCATCTCAGCCCATCTCTTCTGAGCTCTGAACCCTTGGCCTTCCTTATGGGATATCTGTTGGTGTCTGGCTGCTTGTTGCCTGTCGCAAGCAGCATACTTACTTCTCACATTTGCAGACTGGCCTTTTTATTCCTTTATTCCTTTGACTATGCAAAAGACTTTGCATCCACTGTATGAGCCCCAAAATTCTTTTCTTGATCCGGAAACATATCCACATCCCTGTTCAGACTTTCTTTCCTCTGTTTTACTCTACAGAGCACATAGCTGTTAGGAAAAGCCCTTTGACTTTAATCACAGTTATTACTTCTTCTGTATAGCAGGAATTGAAATTGATTTTTTTTCTCAAAATAACATCTCTCATGGTCCCTCTTTGACAGAAATGGGCTTCAGCTAGAAATTTTCAATCCAGATGTAAACACCCCTCAAAGTTTAGGAGCTCAGTTCTTGAGGGTGATGTGTTAAACCAGCTTAATTTACTAATAGAAGCAAAGATGTTTGTTGTCTAGTGACTAAGAGCCTTTGTAAGAGTCCATTGAAGCCAGTGGGAGATGCCCTGTTAATTTTCAGCAAGCGTAACCAGTATATATTACTATTCAGCTTGTATAAGGCCTCTTATTATGAAATCCATCAAACATATTACTTTGTTCCTAGATTGAAACCGTGAGTAAAATAAAGTACAAAATAAAGTAGAAGTAAAATGATCCTACCATAGAAGTCGTCTGTATTTTCTCGTTTTGTTTCTCTTTTGCTCCAAGTTCAGGATTATAAAATACTTATATATCCTTTTCATCTGAGATAGATCTGTCCTTGACCACCTCAGTGGGGAACCATTCCAAGAATACCTAAACAGCATGTACTTCGACAGGTTTCTCCAGTGGAAGTGGTTGGAAAGGTAGGTGTCACAATTTTTTTTCTTATTAAAAATTAATACAAAAGGTTCATTTTCGCTTTCCATGTAAAGCCTTTAGAATATGGTCAAAATCTGACAGCTGAGATAAGTAGTACATGTTTGCTCCCTTTGCCTTCAAGAGAAAGACGGTTTGGCCTTTCTACAGCATTACTGTGCCTCATCCTGATGTTTGCCATTTATGGCCCTCTCTGTGCAGCGATTCTCTCCCTCTTTTCACTGTTCTCCTTCAAGAAGGTCCGTCAAGACTCACTCCCCATTTCCTTGAGATGTACTCCAGGGAAGATCTCCTAGAGAGCTCCAGGAAGGCTTTCTTAATTTTAGCATTCGTTTGTAAGTGTTCATTGTTAGAAGGCTTATGAAGAGGTAATGGCTTTAGCCACAGGAAGGTACCATATAGAAAAGTCATGGTTATGTTGGCATTAGACTCAATTTAACCATGAGCTGAGTCTCCAGCTGTGACCATCCAATGAGCACGATTGGTGTCTGGGACATATCTATTGCTCCTTCATCGTCCATGAACGTGCTTACACCCATAAATACTCTCCAGCCCCTCCGTTCTCTCTTAGGGACACCGCACTCCAGCAAGCAGCTTGGGCACCTTTTTTGCACAGTATGCTTGTGCACAGCAAGTGAATAGAGCAAGACCTACAGCCTATAAAAAATACAAAAAATGGGAATCCAAATCTCCTGCAATCTGAGAAACGTCCGTGGGCAGTTTCATTGTAGGCCTTGTCACAATGAGCTAGTCATGGCACAGCTTGAAGGACACATTGCACTTTTTTTATAACCAGTGCTTGTGCATCAGTATGCTAAACGTAAGATACACATCGAGTCTCTGCCTTTTGCATTTGCAAACACTGTGCCCAAGCAAGACTGAAACATGCTGCTTGCTAGGGAAGTAAAGAATAAAACAGAAATCCACCCAAAACCACCAGGGAGCCAGTTTTGGCTTCTAAAGCTCAAGTGTTCAGCCATTTAATGGTATTAGGTACATTAGGCACATTAGGTATGATTAAAGTACATTCAGCAACTTCAGTTGTCTTTCTGTTTAGCTACGCTCTGAATATGGTGACTTTTTGTCAGGACCAGTTATCACAATTATTAAATCACTGTAAACAGACAAAAATATGGCATATAGGTTCTCGCACCATACTTATTGGCTATACATTTCTGAGCACAATTATTAACCCCACAGCCTTAGTGGGTATTAATTTGAAAGGAAAGGAGCCTTTGCCTTCTCTTGGCAGCGAGGGCTGTAGCAGACATACACTGCTGGGCAACAGTGACCTTGAGTTGAGAGAAGCCCCAGTTTGCACAAATGGAATTAATTACGGCAGATGAGTTAGGGCCAGATCCATGAGCAGTGTGTATCAGCGTGATGCCTCGGAGATCAAAGGAGCTGTGCCAGTTCCTCTCCCTGGAAAGTGACAAAGCTGCTGCACAAGAGGGAAGGGAAGCAGTGGGCAGAAGGGAGAGCCATTTCATGCCAAGACATGCTCCGCATGCCATCTTTACTGAATCCAGCATTTACTCTTCCATTTCCATTAAAAAAACATCAGATGATTCATCTCTAGCCAGGCTATTTCCTATCTATTTTCACATTTGGGATAAGGAATTTTCTCAAATGTTTTGAGGATTTGTTTTTTCCATTCCCCCAACAAACGTGACAAGCTATTGGATGTGCCTATCTGGCTTAAGCTGGGAGAAATGTTTTTAGGATTAGCAAAGCAATGTTAGTAGTACAGAGTGATCAACTGCTCCTTCTGACAGCCTGCTGGCTCCAATGGAGGAGTCAAACAGTCCATTTATTCCAGGGACATTGCTGAGCGTGTAGTTATCACTGCTAACTGTTGCTTTTAACTCCGATAGCATTTGTAGTATCTTCACAGAAGCCTGAAAATAGCATCTTTTCCTCTTCTAGTTTTGGCCTTCTGCGTATTTTTCTTCCCCCACTTTTAAAAACAATAATGAATATAAATGAAACAATTCACTTTAACATCTATTCCTTATTGTCATCAACCTCATCATCACTGTTGTGGGAACAGCCACGTTATTGTGCTCCCTCTGCCGACTGGCGGCCCGCCAGAGGATAACAAAGCTGGCAGGAATATTCATATCGACTGCTAATATAATTGTAAAACTTCGGTGATGGAGCGGTGGATACAAAATTGGATCTCTCTGAATCTAGAGACCTTCTGTCACGTTATAAAACTTTGATGATAACAAATGTGGTATAAGTTAGATGTAGGGCTGGAGCCCTTTTGGTAGAGCAGAATTTTGTGGGAATCCTGCAAGATCGTGTAGTGATCGTAGCTAGTGATCGTTAGGGAGCACTCTGCCCTCAGAAAGACAGACCGACGTATTTAACCCTTACTTTGGTCCTTAAAAGGAAAGCGATGCTTACCCTGCCTTCTTGCCTGTGATGCTCTCCCAGGAGGCAGGTACTCCAGGGCTTGGAGCACGGCTTCCTGCTCCCCGCTCCTGCGAACGGGACCTAAACCCACCTCTCCGGTTCCTGGGATTGTTTCTTTCCTTGTTTCACATCAGTTTCCTGTTTTGTCTAAGGTCAAGAAACCAGAAATATTTTCTGGTGGATTGAATTTTAGATCTCTTTCTCATCTTGAAGACCAAGCAAAGCAATAAAGTGTTAGCCCAGCACTACCCTTAAAAAATTCCTATATATCGTGAGAATTAATATCTTGTTGGAAGCTCTCAGGCCTCGTCTTTGCTTAACAAAGGCCAAAGCTATATGATAGAGATTCAGAACCCTCCTTGGTCCTAAGATGCTAGCAGAAATTATACTGATGACTCACTAATGTGTTGTATTTTATTACAGCTTAATATGTTGGAATTGAAAAGTTCAAGCCATACATAGTATTGAAGTAATGCAATTACATAGTTATATATTATATTATATAATATGATTACCTTAAAATAATGTGATTACATAATATTTATCTATTTTGCTTTTCAAAAGTATGCTCTGAAATAAATAAATCACAGAGAGTGCATTAAATGGAGCGTGTGTTTTCTTTTTTTTATTTCCTTTTCTTCCAGGCAACCAGTAACGAAAAACACGTTTCGGCAGTACAGGGTGCTAGGGAAGGGCGGCTTTGGGGAGGTGAGTAATTCTGAAAGTTTCTGTTAAGAGTGTTTCTTACTTCTCAGGCACTGCAGGTTACAGGAGCCTGATGCGACAGAGGCTGATTTTCATTAATTGCTGACAGTTTTACTTAACCTCTCATGACACTGTAATCTCAAAAGAACACTTTTGAGAATTATTTTGTATTCGACTGTTGCATTCACAGTGGAATTAGGGTCACACCCTTATTTGTATTGTACTGATGGCTCGAGGTCGCTGCCTAGGCAGCAGAGTACAATCTGCACAGACAAAAGGAGGTGGGATAGGAAACAGGCGGAGGAAAGTGAAATAATTAAACCAATATTACACAGCAGGTTTGGAAACAGTAGTTGGTTCCCCAGCTGCCCCCGCCTATGCCTTATTCTCTACGCCGCCGTCTCTAACCTTAAAAGGACCTCAGATCAGATCGTGAGGAGTAAAGTGCAACCCAGACACAGCGTTTGCTTCGACTCACCCAGCAATTGTTCTCTTGAATTCGCAGGTCTGTGCTTGCCAAGTCCGAGCGACAGGGAAGATGTACGCCTGCAAGAGATTAGAGAAGAAGAGAATAAAAAAGAGGAAAGGCGAATCCATGGCACTAAATGAAAAGCAGATTTTAGAAAAAGTCAATAGTCAGTTTGTAGTGAGTATTGAACTCCCTAGTGCTCAGCTCCCTGCTCACCTGCTGAGCACTGTTCTTGTTGAATCTGATGCCTCCTTCTCCTGCTACAGGAAAGGTTCCAGAAGTTGACTCCCTTCGCTTTGCACCTTAGTGCTGCTCCAGGCACCTTTACCAAGTCTCATTTTAATCTCTGGTCTGTGAGAAATGCACCAAACAAGGTGCCTGTTCCTATCATGGGAATATGATGCATTTTATAGCCCTGACTTGCATCAGGGCTGCATCAGGCTGAGCTATTTTTATCCAGCGTTGATTACCTGAATTCCCAGTGTCTGGGAGAGAGGAGCTTGGAGGAGACTGAAGGAGATTCAACCCAAATAGACCAGAAGAGATTGGCTAATAGGAGCATCTAGCCAGTGACGTGGAGCTGGTCTGCCTGACGCAGGGCTTTCCTGAGATTTGCCAGCTCTTGTGTCTCTTTAAAAACTTGCCTCAGATTTAAAAAAAAAAAAAAGGTGTTGTTATCTCAGCATTTGTCATGTTCTTTACACTTATTTTAGGAAACACTATGCATACAACAGATGCGAGACGTTTACTTACCTGTGGCAGAAGCAAAGACAATGGCACATATTGAAAAGTGATGGGTAGCTTTTGGCTTGTCTGGTCGTTCCTGGGGCAGCCCCCAGCGCCTCGCAAGGGTGATGCTGACCTGCATGCCTCCATGATGGTCCGTTTGACCACCGCAGGACTGGGCTATCTGGGCCTTCCTGGGAACCTACTGAGATGATGGGTTTTTGACAGCCATCCAGCAAAACAGTGCAGCAGGAGGTGTAGATTCCCTTGACTATTAAGATTTCTCTTATGTGGAAAAGTATGTCTGGATTTAGTATGTTTGTCCAGCCTGTGAAGCTATCTGAGCATTAACCTTGAGGGTTTCTGATGATGAATAGGCTGGATTCAACAAATTAATCTATAAAATCCTAACATCTGTTTTTTCTGTACTTTTAAAATGTATGTTTGCTATTGTAATAAGGCCCATATCAAATTCAGTCCATACATTTTTTTCCTCTTCTAGAGAAAATCTTTAATGTTAGTGCTTTCTTCCTAGCAGCTAACTGCACTGTCACAACTATGCTACAAATGTTCTTCTAGGTCAATTTAGCCTATGCCTATGAAACAAAGGATGCACTGTGTTTAGTTCTGACCATAATGAATGGAGGTGACCTGAAGTTTCATATCTACAACATGGGAAACCCAGGCTTTGAGGAGGAAAGAGCTTTGTTTTATGCAGCAGAGATTCTTTGTGGCTTAGAAGACCTACATAGAGAAAATACTGTGTACAGGTAAGCACTCTCTAGAGTCTTAGGACATCTTTTCTGGGTAGAAAAGAATTGCCTGCATCCTCCCTACCCATTGTGGTGCTGTACAGCTTAGATGCCTCAGTGCTTTGGCTGAAATTTCGCAGAGCCCTGTACAAATACAGTATGATACAGTAATCATGGAAGGAAGCAGTTGCTTCACTAAATGCGTCCTGTCTAAATTGCACAGAACTAACACAAAGCTCCCCAAACCCTACCTCAGCATGCCCTGGGTGACATAAGAAAATTATGAAAGTTTCTTTAAAGGGATTTCATTAAGGAATCTAGTTTCTAGTTGGTATGGGATGGAGATCATTCTATTCAAGCCTCTATTTTAATTAGTTAGATTATATTGCATTAAGGGCCGCAGCACATCAGATACGGAAAAACCATCTCTCCTATCCCAGAGGGAGTGCAATTAGCACAAGAGGGTGTTTGAGACACAGGGCATGGATTTGCACTCTAGGACATGAACTAGTTTGATTCGCTAGATTGGATCGTGATGGTGGCCGTAGCGTGCCAACCGTGGAAGGAGGCACATTCACAGCCACGCAACGGAGGCGTCCTGCGGGCAGCATCCCACCCGCTGCGGGTGCAGCCATCGGGCAGGGCCCGGGGCGGTGACAGACAGACAGCTTTGAGAAGGACAAATTTCAAGTTCTCAGCTTCCAGTCTGGCTTACAGCTCTGTACGAGCACTTTTCCAGGGCATCATAGGGTTTACTTGCTGGATAAGCAGGGTGATTGCAGACAGAGTTCTTGTGACTCCACAAGGATTTATTTTTTTTTAATCAACGACCAATGTAGTTGTAAACAACATTTAACGTTTGCCGTCATTATCCCAGCTTGTGAAATCATTATTGCTGGCATTCACAGCAGAAGAGGTCCTGTAAATTGATGAAAGAACTTCCAAGGACAATAATTAATAGGCAATAATACGTTTTTTAAAAACTAAGCCACACTTTAAATCATTTGATATGCCCATGTGTAAGAAGCATTATGCATATGCTTGTATACTTAGAAATTACAATATTGTTGTTCCTTGGAGGAGATCTCTGCCACTTGGTTGCCTCGCTGTGACTCAGACCTTGCTAGCTGGCGTAAGGCGGGCAGACAGATAACATGCTGATTTAGTTGGCACTGGCCCAAGAAGGAGATTTTTTTTTCCCAAGGAACAAAATGGAATTAAGTGTTTAATGTCAATTGAAAACTCAAATAATGAGTGACGTGTCTGGCATCCCTTTCTTTAAAAAACATCCTACCACCATTCAAAAAAGTTTTAGGAGGTGTTTCTTTAAAAAGTACTAGATCACAAGCATACTTTATTGATTAAAATGACCGGTATATTCATGACATGGCTGGTAAAATGCCATACTAATGCCACTTTCTAATAAAACAAATTAGATCTGGCCACCTAAAATAGTACGTGGCTGTGAGAGAAATGGCATCCTACTTCCTTAAACAGTTGTTTTCATGTTACTCTTCAAAGAGCTGCTAGTTTACACCTTAGATGGCACATTCATTTTGGTGATGAATGATATTATATCCTTGTAGGTGACATTTTCTAGCAGTATTTTAGGAGCATCTGCAGAGACCCCTAATTTGTAATACTGCAGTGTGTTTTGGGACCCGTGAGAAGTGCTATATAGGTCAATAAAATATAGCAGCTAAATGCTACCGCTTTCTCAAGGTGAATAATTCATTGCAAAACACTTATTCCTCAGACTTAATTTCATTTTCTATGAACAAAATGCTTCTGAGTAAATCACAGCATCGGAAAATACATCCCCATCTTACGGGCTGGTGACGCACGCTGCGGATGTGACCCGAGAGAACAACCAGGCTCAGAGTCAGATTTATCCGATTCAGAATTCTCTTGCCAAACATGGCACTTATGATACATTTCTCAACTGCATCATGTTAGTAAAGGTCAACAGGTTGATTGTTCATGGAAAGCAAACATAAAAAGCTGCTGGTTCTCATCAAATTATTTATATATATAAATACATAGATATAATTTTTATTTATATAGATATAAAATCTGTATATAAATTATTTCTATATATACTATATGGCCATGCCTGGAAGCTCCGGTCAGCATCAAGATCACATTGTCCTAGGCATTACACAAATATACAGTAAAGCCTTGTCCACCGTGATTGAGTTGTTTATGCTGTCCTGTACAGCCAAACAACGTACCATCGCCCTTCTAGCATGGGCGCAGTGCCAGCAGTTTATGTTTCCGTATATTTAGACAAGGCTAGTTGACATATGGGAAGCTGTACCATTGGGAAGTAGCCTTACATGTAACTGTGTCCACCAGGGAGTTTTATTTCTCCTAGACATTTCAGTACAAAAATCACGTTCCTCCTTGGCACTTGGAAGCGTTGGCCATGCAAAGGAAGCCAGCCTGGATCCTGAGGAACCAGAAATCTGAAAACAGAAATGACAACTGATGTCTAGGGGGAAGGAAAGACTGCTCTAATTGCCCTAAATCACAGAGGACTGTAAGGACTGAGCTGCTGTTCTCAGAGTCCTCGTGGAGTCTCTCATTTTCTCATTCAAAGATAACATTTCCCAACTTGCACACAGGATTCTTGTCATTTGGCCACAGTTACAGCTTTAAGTGGGACTAATAACTGCTGGAGCAGAAGATGAAGGAACTAATGAAGTCTGAGTTCGTCAAGGAAATAGTTCTTAAGGGATTTGGAATAAATCTTTAAAAATAAATAGGAAATGCCCTCGATCGTGTTGCTCCAGCCTTGGAAACCTTCTGCTGATAGACAGGGAAAGCCCGCAGTGGTATGTTAAAATCACAGCTTCTCCTCAGCAGTCGGCTGCCCTTCACATATTTCAGTATTGTTTATTTGAAAAGTAGGCTTGGTACCAATGTGCACCCAGTGAAGTTTATCTTGAGAGGTCAAGAGGGTCTGAAGCAAGCAAGAAGAGGAGATTGTTCACAGCCCTCTGTGTTCTTGCTTGAAATAATAAATAAAAACGAGACTAGTTTTGAAATTGTCAAAACTATAAAATACCCCTCTCCACTCACAGGAAGATTCACGACACCGGAGTGGTCCAGCTTGAAAAGCAGGGTGGGCTCCTGCACAGACTCTGTGCAATGCACTGATCTCCTGGTGCGAGGGTTTCTCTTGCACACCCCCCTCTCTTTGCTCTTTGAAAAGAAATGTGTCTTGCTGGGAAGCTAACAGAATCAAGCTGGTTCACAAATGCAAGGAGGCCTTAAAAAAAGATGAGGCCAAGCACTTCTTGGATTTGCACCAGGCTAAACGCTGCGTTTCAGTAGGAGTTGATCAGATAAATGTCATGGCATGATGTTGTGAATTGCAGCAATACGTTTTTTTCCTGCCTCACCCTGCCGCACTGGTGCCTTATTCAGGCTCCGGAGCCAGCACAGCCGGCTCCCATCGCACGGCCCGTCTGGGATGCTCCCTGCCCAGCACGTCCCCATCTTCCCTCTGACACCTCCAGGTCCCATCTCCCAGGC